TCAGGGCCTGGCTGTGCCCCGGGAGGGGACAGGCTGGAGGAGCATTCCCTGTGGGAAGCACGGCGCTTTGCCCCGGAGACCCCCTCGGCAGGGATGCAGGCAGGGGGCTGCGATGCCGCCCGAGGAAGGAAAGCCAGGCAGCTCCAAGAGAGCCAGCTCCCGCAGCCCGCGCTGCGCCCCACGAGTGACACAGCCCCACGCCACCGAGCGGCATCACCCAGCTGGGGGGTCTGGGGGCTCCCACCTCCTCCTCGGGCTCCTCTCCCCCCTCGCCGCACACCGTCTCCCTCTGCCCCCTCCGCGTGTTGTTCTTGGCTGGGTTTGAGCCTGTGTAAATTTAGGCGGATCTATTTCAACACCCATCCTCTGCCCTGCTGGGGGGGAAGAGGACGGAGCAAAGGTAGCGAGCGGCATCACCCAGCTGGGGGGTCTGGGGGCTCCCACCTCCTCCTCGGGCTCCTCTCCCCCCTCGCCGCACACCGTCTCCCTCTGCCCCCTCCGCGTGTTGTTCTTGGCTGGGTTTGAGCCTGTGTAAATTTAGGCGGATCTATTTCAACACCCATCCTCTGCCCTGCTGGGGGGGAAGAGGACGGAGCAAAGGTAGCTGGGGAGGAAGAGCAGGGACCGCGGTGCCCTGCAGTGGGGTCTGCTCCCCGCGCCCCGGCCGGGCTTTCCCCATCAGCACCCTGGATTTTACCCAGCTGCGAGGCCATGGAGGTGCCCAGGACGAAGGCTGGCATTTTCCCAGCTGTCGTGCCACGGATCTCTCTGGCTGTCACTTGGGGTAGAGCCGGGTGACAAGGACAAGCCAGCCTGCGTGCCCACCAGGGAAGGAGCCCCCGCTCCCCGGAGGAGGCTGCTGCAGGTGAGTGGGGCTGCAGCAAAGCAAGGGCAGGGACGAGGGTCTGAGGGGTAGGACGTCGGCGCTGGCACCCAGGGGTGCCCCAGGTCTGGTCCGACGCGCAGGGGGCCACAAACAGAGGGAGGGCTGCGGTGTCCGAGCCCCCCTCGCTGCCCTGCCTGGCACAGCGAGGAGCCACCCCTCTCCCCTCACAGGCAGCATCACCTCGGGCTTGTGGGGCCTATCCAAATGCCCCTGCTGCCTCTCTCCTAATGCCACTGGGGTGGGGACGTCCCAGAGAACGTCCTGCTGCCCGCAGGACCCACGGCAGGGCCTCTCCTTCCCCGGCCAGCGGCACCGTTCTCGGCTACGCATTAACCAGCTCTTGATCTGCCAAGCGCTGTGCCAGGTCCCCTCCGTGTCACCACCTCGGGAGGTAGCGCCGAGGGGTCACCAGCTCCTGTGAGCCCCCAGAAAGATGCTCAGCCAGGTCAGGTGGGACGTGGCAGAGCAAGCGCCAGGCGTTGGCGAAGGATCAGAGCACACAGCCTGCTTGCACCTCGCTCACCACAGCCTAGTCCCAGTGCCCAGTACTGGGTCTCGTGTCCCCATGCCCCAGAGCCACCAGAGACCACTTTTCCCTCCCCTCTACCATGGTTGGCTCAGCTTGTCCTCACTGCCAAGAGCGGCTGGCAGCCAGAGCATCGCCAGCAGCTCTGAAGCATGTTTTTGCTGCACACATCTGCCCCGTTGGCCATTCAACCAGCTGGCAGAGGAACGCGGGGGGCCGCCAGCACTCAGCCACGTCACCGCGCCAGCCAGTACAACTAACGGCGGCCCGGTGTCCAGCCACAGCAAAGGGAGCTGAAAGGTGCGAGACGGAGCTGGTAGGGCTGTGGCTTTTCCCTTTCTGAGAACAAGATGAGAAATCAGTCTCCTCTCCCCCGCAGCTTACACGTACCAGCAATCGCAGAGCCAGCGATGCCGGCTCCTTGGGCTGCCCAGGGTACCGGGCACAGGCACATCGCCCCGAGCATCAGCCTCTGGCTCCCGCATCTCACACAAGCTAAAAGGGAGGAAAAACCCCAAAATACTGCTTTCACATACAGCACTTTCAAAAGGACCTTTGCAAAAGGCCTTTTGACCACCAAGTGACCAATAACCAGCTGTTCAAATAAGCCACCAAGGACTCAAATCCCCAGTCCTGCTGAAAAAGGGAAGTCAATTTTTTCCCATGGCTGCAGCTCCTGCTGCCACGGCCCATGGTCTGGGTGCGTGCAGCTTCATGCACCCCCCTCCCAGCTAGCTCCAGCCCCCCAGCACCCAGGCAGCACCCAGAGCCAGCACAGCAAGGGGCAGAGGCGGAGCGTGGCTCAGAGCCCGTCTCCCAGCTTTGAGGGAACCTGGACACAGGTTTTCGGCAGAGCAGGAGGCGCTGGCGTCACCCGGCGGTGCTGGCTCTGAACCCCACAGCAGTCACAGTTATAATTTGGCTTTTCAACCCCTGTCCCCTCGGATGCTGTGCTCCAAACCTGCGTCGTGGTGTGGGCAGCAGCCACCCTGCACCCAACGCGTGACCCAGGCTGGGTGCCCTCCGCAGTCACCGGCTGCTCACATCCCTGCCGTGAATCCTCACCGGTCCCCTCCAAGGGCAGCTGGAAGCTTGAACTGTTTGACACGCTGAACTACGCATCGCAGCCACCTCGGGGTGGAAGCTGAGAGCTGCAGTGGCTGAAAGCACTTAAAAAAGCCCAAACCCTCCAGGATTTTGCTCAAAAGCTTTTCTCCCCCACGGGGCCGCGTTTGGCAGCTCGGTACCTGCCACAGCTCCCAGCCGCCAGCACCTCTCACATCCCTCCTCCGCTTTGCTTCCAGGGGACCTGCTGCATGAAGCCCAGACAAGCCCACAGCTGAGATCCCCCAGGCTCTGCATGGATGGGAATGGGGAAACCTGCCCCTAGTAAGAGCCCAGGGCAGCTGGAAAACCCCGGCTTCTTCCTCCGAGCTCTCTTCCTCCTCCTCTGCTGCAGGCATGGTAAGGAACCACATGGCAAGGATGCCCACGGGAGCTGTAGCCCCGGGGTGCAGGGAGGGTACCACCATGGCAGAGCTCCCAGCAGGTGACTGGAGCAAGGAGAAGATCCCCTCATCGCAGCCATGAGGCTCAGGCAGCATTCCCACCAGGGCAGCCTCACTGAGAGCACCCCCCAGCTCTCCCACAGCAGGCACTTTCCCTGGGAGAGCCCTCCCAGGCTCTGTCATCCCCCAAGAGAAGACAGGGACAGCAGGGCACAAAGTCCAAGCTCTTCCAGCAAAAGGCACCAGCTGCATCCACCACTCAGTCCCTCGCTTCCCTTCCCACATCCCAAACGCTCTGCTAGGAGAGCCAAGACCTGCATCCTGCAAAACCTAAACCCACTTCCCAGCACCTCACCCTGCCCAGCCTGTAAGTGCAGCTGTCCCTTATAACCCCTCTGCTTAATGAGCTAAATGAGCCCTGCTGGGGCGAGCTCGTTAGCTCTCCTGGAGCAGTGGCACATGGGAAAAAATCCGTCTGAGGGACAGGACGTCCTTGGTGCGGTCAAAGCTATCACAAAAGAGCAATTGCACGGCCTGGCCAAGGTTGAAACGGAAAGCAGGGGTTTCCCAGCTCAGAAATTCCCGTTTGTCCCCTGGCAAGCCCCGGGGCAAAGAGTCCCCG